AGTTAAAATATTAATATCTAATTACAAATTTTGGGAAATCTTGCACTCAAATATCTATTTTTCATTGCAAATACGATGGCTATAACCTTTGCTTTTAAATAAGATCTTATTTGTCTCTTTAGGAACAGAATCGTTAATTACCTTCTAAGAATAAAGAAAGTGGAATGGAAACTAATATAATAATTTTAATAGCAAATTAATTATATAACTTCCATAATGAGATTTTCACATCAGATACCATCCTTTTAAAGATTGTTACAATTCAACTGTCATGATTAGACATTTGAATTTACAATGTTCGGATCATCCAACGCGTTGTTAGGCAGCGAAGAACAACAATTTCTGTGCACCTGCGAGTGCTTATCAGAGCGGTTTTCTAGTTGCTATCGGTTCGATAATGAACCGCTCTTCTCCTGCTACAATGAACATCATCACAGCTGCTGAGCTGAAAAATGAGGGTAGGTTAGGTTTGATAGGCTGTCGTTGTTTTATAATTCATTATGTGGTCACTTCACATCTCTTCTATTTTAATATTGCATAGGCTGTACAATTCAAGAAAAAGTAAAGGGATTGTTTGAGAAGAGGAAATTAAAAAGTGATGGAAAGAAATTTTCTGGTAGGAGTTGGTCTATCTGGGAGACATTTCACTTCCATTATTCTCAATTGTGAAATTTTTCTTTTAAAAATGCGATGCATCACTCCATTTACTTCTTCTGATGCTTTATCTTGAAGAGTTTAGATCATCGATGTCTAGTATGTGGAGCGCAAGCTACCGGTTTCCATTTCGATGCTCAGTCATGCTCAGCCTGTGCAGCCTTCTTCAGAAGGACCGTATCTCTGAAAAAGAAGTTCATATGCATAGCCAATCGATCCGATTGTCAAGTCCATTATAGTTTGTCTTTAAAACACTTTAATTTATCTTTCACCGAGTATCCTCGTATTTTCAGCTATGCATCAAATCTGTCGAGCTTGTAGATTTGAAAAATGCCTAAAGGCAGGAATGAATCGCGATGGTATGTGTTCATAAAATCTGTTTTATGCATAACCTAGGAATTCCACATCAAGCAAAAATTCTGGTCTTTGTAATTATCGTAAATTATTTTAATGTTCTAACTGAAATCCAATGTCTTCACCTGTTTTTGTGTCTCTATTCACTTTCTTTGATCTCAAAATTAGAAAAAAAAACGTATTTTCTCCTTTTTTTT